GGAGCCCAGATCTACGAATGACATGGATTGGATTTGAGCAAAATCGCATTTTTAGCTCTTGCATGGAGCGGACTCGACGAGTCGCTCATCTGACTCGGCGAGTCCAGTCGTGAGTCTCAGGGTCTGTCCCCATTTGGTTATGTTGAGTCGCGTGGTGAGTCCAGGAGGGACTCGGTGAGTTGGAAGCTAAAACTCACCCATAGTGGAACTCGGCGAGTCGATGCCCCGACTCGGCGAGTTCAAGGCAATCTCCTTAGATCAAGATCAGACTCGGTGAGTTGTTCATACAACTCGGCGAGTCACAGTATAACTTGTTCATCGGATGAAGATGAACTCGGCGAGTTGTTCATATTTGTTTAATTAATATTGGTCAATAATTAATTAAGAGTTAATTTTGTGATCAAATGTAATTAATTAAACTACAGGGGCTGAATTGTAATTATATGATAGTTGCAAAGTAGGGTAATGGTTACCCTAGAGATAGGTTGGACGAATTCAAGGGATAAGGATCCTTGAAATTGTCCAAGGATAAGGCTTTCAATGCTTATCTTATGGTTACTTGGTGGGCAAGCAACTAGATAAGGATAATGACTGAAACCCTAATCTATACCCGATATAAAGACCCCTAAGGCTAAGGAAATCGACCACTTGCTCCCTAGGGTCCCTAAAGCCGATTTCATCCTCTCTCCTCTCTCTCTCTCTCTCTCTCTCTCTCTCTCTTGCCTCTCCAATTGCTTGTGGTGTTTGTGAGCCATTAGAGGTACTACAATTGTGCTACTTGCTTTCAAGACTAAGAGATTGAAGATTAGTGTTGATATTGCAATATAACAACAAGAGGTATGTGATATACTCTTATATATAAATTTCGAAATATATACATGCATGCTAGGGTTCTTCTTGTGTTCATAAATTTGTGTATCTAATAGAGACAACATAGATCCAAATCTAGGGTTGCATGCACACATATGATTGTTTGTACAAAACCCATCAGAAGGAACTTCTTGGAGAAGTATGGGAGTGTTTAAAGCTTTTGGATCCAGGGTTGTTGCATCTTGGTCTACATTTAAGGGGTATAAAGTTTTTGCCTTGATGATCTTATATGCTAGATCTAATTCATGGAGTATTTTATGTATTTTGGAGTCTTTGTGTTATAGATGGGTTTTTGATCAACTCCAGAAGCAATGAGTGCTAGATCTTAGCTCCATTCAGTCCCGAGGTTCATAAAAATGCAAGCTTTATGGTGTATTTTGGTCCATTCAAGCATTAAGACCTTTGTTAAGTCCTTATTGAGCTTTTGAGTCCCCTTTTACCATGCGAGCATGTAAAGTTGCCAACTTTACATGATAAATAGTCTTAAGGAAATTGATCTGAGAGTTTGACACTTTGTCTTAACTGATTAAGGACTTATTGGAGTGAAAAGGTGGTTTAAGAAGTACGCGAGGTGTACTTAAGAGTACGCTCAACATAATGTTGAGCTTGTGCATAATGGACTTGTACAATATGCTTCATTGGCGAGTATGCAGGGCGTACCATTCGGGTACGTTGGGCGTACTCCCCAGTGTGTCGTTTTGGGCTTTTTGAGGTTTGGGTCATTGTTAGGTTTTCTTAGTTGGGCCTTGTAGGGCCATTAGACTTCGATGTTGGGATTTTGATTTGTATCTTTTGGGCTCCTTTGGATTTAGGCCCATAATGGGTTTTCGGGGTCCAATTTGGAGGATTGGTCCATATTGGGCTTTAGAGCATCATTTAGGATTTGGGCCTTCGAAGTAGCTGAGTTGGGCCTTGACTTTAGGCCAAGCGAGTTAAGGGGTAGAATGGTCGTTAACCCTGGGTTTTGGGCTATGTAGCTTAGACTCTCAGTTATGGGTCGGAATTCAAATATTAATTGGATGTTATTTGATATTGATAACGCGTGGATTTTCCGGACCAACGGTTAGAGATTCTTTCAATTGTTTATCAGCAGATTGAGGTGAGTTTTCTCACTATATCTATGGGTTGACTGTACCAATGTCATTCCATTACTTGTTATGTGGAATGCTAGTTGTCTTTGTGATACTTTCTTGGAAGACACCAGGGGTAGCCTGTGACATTTGTATGAAATACCATGGGGGTAACCCATAACACTTGGATGTCAGACCATGGGGCAGCCGATAGCATTTTAAGGAAATACCATAGGGGTAGCCAATGATACTTGAATGTTAGACCATGGGGGAAGCCCATGGCATTTCAGGGGAAAGACCATAGGGGTAACCCGTGGCAAATATATGTATGATATGTGGTATTTTTGGGGATCTCACTAAACTTTGTTCTTACGGTTTTCAGTTTATGTTTCAGGTAGTTCTGTTTTCTCGAGATGATTGTAGAGCACACACCACTCGATTCCACATTGTATGATTCACTCTGATTATTACGATGTATTGATAAAATTTAATTACTTGGTTTTATGACAACGATATGGTTAAATTTAGTTACAACCGGTTATAAGGGTAAAATATGAACAAATTCAAATAATTCAGATGTAAATTAAATACGAAAAAAAATTCAATAACTAAATATAATAAAACTCAAAATTCGTTACCATTTCAAATCATTATCCCATATTATAATGATGATAATCTTTACCTTTAGTGTATGAACTCTATCATAACTATCAAGGATCACCAATAGGATAAAAAATGGTATGAAATTATTTAATTTTTCTATCTTACTCAATTTATTTATAATTTTTTTTGAACGGCTATGTTAGTATGTGTTTAGGATTGAATCCAAAAACTTTTGGTTAGAAACTTCTAATTAGACTAACAAGTGGGCTAGCCGAACTTATAATTAAATTAATTTATAATTGCATATTAAAATCTACTACTATTCTTGGTGCCGCCTTAAATGATTTGGGAAAATGACTTAAGAGGGTAACTACCTCTTATCCGTGTTCACATATTAGCAACATCTTTTTTGTACATTATAAAGCAACTAACTTGTTTTAACTGTTTAAATTACACCAATATTACCAGCTAATATCTGTTTTAACCGATAACTCAAAGGGAAAATGACTTAGGACGGTAACTATCTCTTATCCGTGTTCACATATTGGCAACTTCTTATTTTTTGTACATAAGAAAGCAACTAACTTGTTTTAACTGTGTAACATTCCAAAAATCATGACCAAAAAATTTCTTTTTTTAATTTAATACTAAAACCATAATTGTCAAACCATTAATTTAATACTCCGGCATCGGGTCCCGCCCGACATCAGGCCCCGTCTGGTATCGAGCCCCGCTCGATATACAGATATGTCTTTTTTAGGCACCGCCTGTCTCCAGGGCCCGCCCACTAAACACATACAATCCTATAACATGCTAACACATAAAAAAACATACTCTACTGTATCCCTGTCATAAGAAACATACTCTGGTAATAATGAGATACAAAACATGGTTCGTACTCAACTAGTGATGAGATACGGGAGCTCGTCCACACTCACCTCTTTACCAGGCACATACAAGTATCATACATACAACAAGTATAATCTAACATGAAAACATTCCTCAGGCACCCGCTCGACATCAGATCTTGGTCTGGAATAACATACTAGCAAACAATGCCTATGGCTAACCCCCGAGTCTTCCTACTCATAGACTAAATGGGCTGGGATTGTGGTCTTAGACCCATTCACAGAGTGAGGAGACTCACCTTGCACTGCTGAAGCACTGACTGGAACTAGCTGAGTACGGACGAAGTTCTGTATCTCATTATTAGCAGAGTATGTTTCTTAGGACAGGGATACAGTAGAGTATGCTTCTTTATGTGTTAGCATGTTAGATGATTGTATGTGTTTAGCGGTCGGGGCTCGGAGACAGGTGGGGCCTAAGAGAGACATATTTGTATACTGAGCGGGGCTCGATGCCAGGCGGGGCCTGGTGTCGGACGAGGCCCAATGCTGGAGTATTAAATTAATGGTTTGACAATTATGGTTTTAGTATTAAATTAAAAACGAAATTTTTGGTCATGATTTTTGGGATGTTACACAGTTAAAACCAATGTTCTAAAAAGCTCGTCAGGGCTCCGCCATGACGCCACCTTAACTCATATATGTGTATAAAAATGAATAATAGTTGAAAATACATATAAAAATATTAATTATATAGAAATTTGCCGCCTTAAGTCACGCCTTACAAACGTCGTGACTCGCCAAGGCTCGGAAAAGCTTGAGGCTTGACATTGCCACCAAGTCACGCCTTACGTTATTTAGAACCTTGGTTAAAACAAGTTAGTTTCTTTCTTATGTACAAAAAATAAGAAGTTGCCAATATGTGAACACGGATAAGAGGTAGTTACCCTCCGTAATCATTTTCCCTTTAAGTTACCTGTTAAAATATGTATTAGCCGGTAATATTGGTATAATTTAAACAGTTAAAACAAATTAGTTGCTTTATTATGTACAAAAAAGAAGAAGTTACCAATATGTGAACACAGATAAGAGTAATTACCCTCCTAAATCATTATCCCAAATGATTTTATGCATCTATCTCTGTCTCTTCTACTGCTACTTGGTTTGTTGCCTCATTGGCTTGGTCTATTCATGTTTTGGTGATCTTTTGTTTTGTATTTCGTCTATTTGTATTGCATATGGGAATAAAAAGGCGCCTCGCTTTTTCAATAATAATGATCCGTTTATATTGATTAATTTTGTTATGATTTTATTTTATTTTTTTGTTTTTTTCAATAATGATCCGTTTATATTGATTATTTTTTTTTCAATAATTATCCGGTTATATTGTTTTTTTTCATTGGCTTGGTCTAAAAACGTGCTAATTGGAATTATATTTTATTCATAATACGATTAAAACAATAAAACTTATCAATATGATCATTAATTAAAAAAAAAAAAAAGTGAAAGCTTAAAACGTCAAAACTCGCTTAAAAGTTAAACATATCTTATCTTCAATCTTCATTCTTCAGTGAACAGTAATACAATCATTTTTCACAAACAATACAAAAAAATGACTTCCATCACTGCAACTGAAACCCCACCTTCACTCATCTCATCCTACAATCGATCAGCAGAACTCAAAGCTTTCGATGAAACAAAATCCGGAGTCAAAGGCCTCGTCGACACCGGAATCCGCCAAATACCTCGCATCTTCATCCACCCACCGGAAACCTCCCCCAAAACCTCCACAACTCTCGAGATTCCAATCGTAGACCTTAATTCAACCGATAAAGCATCAACGGTGGAGAATATCCGTGTCGCCTCGGAGAATCTAGGATTTTTTCAAGTAGTGAATCACGGGATCCCTGTGAGTGTTATGGACGAGATGCTTCAAGGAGTTCGTAGATTTCACGAACAAGATGTGGAGGTGAAGAAACGGTTTTACACAAGAGATCGTACGAGAACAGTAGTGTATAATAGCAATTTTGATCTGTATAGTTCCGCCGCCGCGAGCTGGAGAGACACCTTCTTTACATCTATGGCTCCGTCGCCTCCGCCGCCTGAGGAATTGCCGGAGGTTTGCAGGGACATACAAATCGAGTACTCTAATCAAGTGCTGAAACTAGGAAGCTTACTATTCCGATTGATCTCAGAGGCTTTAGGGCTGAAGGCAAATCATCTAACAGATTTGGATTGTGACAAAGGGCTTTCATTCCTTGGTCATTGTTATCCTGCTTGTCCACAACCAGAACTAACCATGGGTACAACCAAACACACAGACAGTGGATTCCTAACTGTTCTTCTACAAGATGAAATCGGAGGACTCCAAATTCTCCATCAAAATCAGTGGATTGATGTTCCTCCAATCCCTGGTGCGCTTGTGATCAACATTGGAGATCTATTACAGGCAAGTTTAGTTTTTGATTTTGATTACTCAAAAATCAAAATTGGAATCATTTTTTTTTTCTTTTTCAGATGATATCGAATGACAAATTGAGGAGTGTGGAGCATAGAGTGGTGGCAAATGAGAAAGGGCCGAGGGTGTCGGTGGCGTGTTTCTTCAGCTCCTCGTTAGCGACGAAGGTGTATGGTCCGATCAAGGAGCTGATTTCCGATGACAACCCACCGAGGTATAGAGAAACCACCGTTCAAGACTATATTCAATATTCCTTCTCGAAAGGCCTTGATGGTGTTCCTCGTTTGCTTCATTTGAAGCTCTAAATTATATCACGAATTTGTATATACCTACTTTAATTCATTATTAGACTCATCGTTTTGATATGAAAAATGATCTGAATAAATATGTTTTACTTTTGGGTAAATTACCCAAATGGTCCCTATGCTTTGAGGTAATGTGTATAAATTGTCCCTACTTTTTTTTTAAAAAAAAATTAGGACAGTTTTATGACATGTTTTTGTTACGCATCATGTGTAAAAAACTATTTTACCTGTGATAGTTTCTTTTTCAGTTAATTTTTTTTATTATGTATAAATTAGTGAAATCATTCTTTTGGTTATATGAAATTGTAGAAACTTGTAAAAAAAACTGGGGCTTTGCCCCGAGTCCGTTTTTTTACAATAGAATGCAATAGGGATTAAACTTGTCAAACTGTGAAAAATATTGTAGTTAAATTTTGTAATGATAACAAGAGTAAATTATTGAAATCATCCCTGTGGTTTGGTTAAAATTGCATGTTTGGTTCCTAACTTTTTTTTTGCACTTGGATCGTCCCTGTGGTTTGATTTTGTTGCGTTTTTCGTCCCTATGGTTTGGTAAAAGTTTCATGTTTGGTCCCTAACTTTATGTATGTAAGGGACAAAAAATGCAACAAAATCAAACCACAGGGACGAAAAACGAAACAAAATCAAACCACAGGGACGATCCGAGTGCAAAAAAAAAGTTAGGGAGCAAGCGTGCAATTTTAACCAAACCACAGGGACGATTTCAGTAATTTACTCTAATAACAAAAGTGTAAGAATCAAAAAGTTTAGTGATAAGTATCTAAAACAAAGGAACTTTACTATTCCTTTAACTATTGAGAATTAAGACACTAAATTTGTAAAATATTATGTCTAAATTTTGAAGATCATAAACTTTTGAAATAAGGGATAGAAAGTATAAGAGTGAAAAAGTTTAGTGGTACAATGCAACAAAAGAAAAAAACACAATCTCCGACTAACATAACAATTCACGGTCTTCGGTCAATAACTCTGGCCACAAGACTAACCCTACCCACAATCGAAAATACTCCACCATCTCACGCCTAAACCTTGTCATTTCTTACCATATCCCTAATTGGTGAAATACCTCGTCAATACCAATACTCAAATGAAATTCTAAAGTATAATCAAATTAGACGAATGTACCATGCGTTACGCAGATTAATAAATATATTGTTGCAAATGTAAATATATTGTTGCAAATGATTATGTTATTAACATCAACTATGAAATAATAAATTTTTACATAAATTTATGGATAAAATTGCAATTATTTTGAGCTTGTAACGTACAAATTGCAAACTAAAATTTTCAATTTTAATTTAAAAGTAACATCCTAATTTCATTATCAATATAAACAAATAACCAAATAACCACTTGTTTAGTTACAACAAACCATAATAAAATTTAAAGTCATAATGATAGTAAAATCAAAATGTTTGGAAGTATCTAGATGCAATGCAATCAAGTCGCGTTCTTCCTTTGCTGCCAAAACTCGACGATCAAATTGAACCGATATTGATTTTGAACCAAACCGTATTCAAATTCAGTTTTTGGTTTGATCTTCGACCAAACCAAATTTTGATTTTGGGTTTTGTTTGACTTTTGGTCTTATGAAGATTAAACCTAACCGCATCGACATCAAAAAACCAAATTGCATTATATAATTAATTAAAAGATATATTTTATATTTTATATATATATATATATATATATATATATATATATATATATATATATATATATATATATAAAAGCCTTTTTAGCAATTTAAGGGTTTTCACTATCATTTTATCACTTTTTGTATGAATCGTCATATCTTTATCTTTGGAGCTTTATCATTTTATGTTTGAAAATTGAACTTTTTTTAAAGAAAATATTTGGTTATTTGGTTTCCTCGATTTCTAAACTAAACCAAACCGAACCGAAACTCGGTTTGGTCTAGAACAAACTGAATTCAATTTGGTTTGGTTTCGATTTGGATCAAAAATATTTCAAACCGACCAACCACCCACCACTAGTTAGTTATGTACGTATTATTATCTAAGTATTTTTAAAATATTAAAATTGTTATACAAAGAAATCATTAAGATAAAATAAACAAAGAACCAATCTGATAAAAAAATACATAACATTTGTATTTTTTTTTCTGTAAGCATGTGCATCTGTTAGTTTATCCCGTTTAGACCATTAAATATTAATCAAATAGCAGGTTTGATGAATAATTCTACAATTAGAAAAAACAAAAAAAAAAAAAAAAAAAAAAAACTAGATGAGTAGATGATTAAAATTCGACACCAAACAACTAATAATGTTTCTGATGCATGATCTCCACCGCATTAAAAAAACTGACCTTTGGATCCTTATCCACGAATATTGTACATGAGAAATTAAATATCACGACTATATAATAACCAATATATATATTTCATATCTATAACTAACTTTAGTGACATAGTAATAGCCGCCAAACAAGACAAAGAAGATGGTCTTAGTTAGCACTTCTGCAGTCACACGGGACTATGACCGGAAAGCAGAGCTCACGGCGTTCGACGAAACCAAAACCGGCGTGAAAGGACTTGTAGATGCCGGAGTTACAGAGGTCCCTCAGATATTCCGCCTACCTTCACCTCAAAACCAAAACTCCGATCAAGAGCTTAATCTTCCGACCATCGATCTCGAAGGAATCAATGAAGATCCGATCCGGCGAAAGGAGGTGATCGAACAAGTGAAGGATGCATTGGAGAGTTGGGGGTTCTTTCAGATGGTGAATCATGGTATTCCGATTAGTATGTTGGAGGAGATGACGAAAGGTGTGGTTGGGTTTCATGAGCAAGATAATGAAGTGAAGAAGAAGTGGTACACCAGGGATCAAAGTGGGAGGAGAAGGGTGGTTTACAACAGCAATTTTGACTTGTATTCTGCTCCGGTGACTAACTGGCGAGACTCTTTCTTGTGCACCATGTTTCCTGATCCTCCTCAACCAGAAGAGTTGCCATCTCCTTGCAGGTTTCACTTTTCACTTTTATGACAGTTTTTGATATTTTTCTTTGTTATTCAAAATTAAGTGATAATAATATTGTTAAAGTAATTATTAAAATTTCAATCACCAATATTTTCGAAAAAGTTACATTTTAGTATCAGTATTTTTTTTTAATGGAAAAGTCCTGAAAATCAGTAAAAATTTACAGTTTAACCCATTTTGATCGGTTGAAATCGGTACCAAATAAATTTGAGACTATTTCGTAAACTAGCTCAAAATCTTGAGACTTTTCTGTAAATCCAAATATTAGTCATTATATTTTTTGTTTATAGAAAAATCTTAATATTGTGGGTTAGTTTATAAAATAATCCCAAATGAATTTGGTATCAGTTTCAACTTGTCAAAAATGATCAAAGTGTAAATTTTGTCGGTTTTCAGAACTTTTTCGTTCAATTTTTTTTTTTGAGAGTAAAGTGTATCTTTTCCGTAAATATTGATACTTTTTTGATAATTTAACAAGTTATTATTTCGTTTTTGGAGATTCCATTTACCCTGCGATTTTTTGGCGAAGATAAAAAATGTTAGTTTTCTCCGATTAAAAATTTTAACGAGACAATCTGCTCTCTTCGTGAGAACTTCTATTTCCTTTCTTTTTTTCTTCAACATTTCTCAATCTCCACTTTTTGATGCGATTTTTGAGGTTTCTTAGTTTGCTTCACTGTTTTTCAATCTTTCTTTTAACGCATTATCACAGCTACCATAATAATATTTTTGATGGAGACCTTTTATATTTAGCTACACTATATGCTGAATAGTGTGGGATCTATATTGATTTGGTTAACCTTTGAAAGTGACCTATTTTAACTGTATACGCATAATATATTGAGTTAACTGCCAAAAAAAAAAAAGCTTTTATTAGAACAACATAACCCATTTAGGACTTTGTGTTATTAAATTGGTGAAAAGTTATATTGTATGTATCGATCAAAATATAAATTAAAGGTTAATTTGTCTTAATCATTAATAAATACTAGTTTTAATTATAATCATTTCATTATCCTTTTAAACAATCTCGTAAAACAACAATACATTTGTGGAAATAGGTGGAATTAAGAAATAGTTTATGAGTAAATTATATTTGTCATTAATTTTTTTTTCAAAACTAAGGGATTTAAGTGTATTATTTGTCAACTAAAATATTAACCATCAAATATCGAATATTTACGAAAAATATGTAGTCATTGTTAATTTCGTCAAAATTTTATTTTAGCCTGACATGATTATAAATTTATAAGTCACCTGATATTGAAACTATGGTTACATAAGTCAAATGTATATATTATAACTACACGATATGTTTGTTTAATTTTGGATATACTTGTAGGGATATTATGTTGGAATACTCAAGGCAAGTGATGAAACTTGGATCTTGTATACTCAAGTTGATATCCGAGGCTCTAGGGCTCGACCCTAATCACCTTTTAGACATGGGATGTGCTGAAGGGCTTGCTGTTCTCGGTCATTACTATCCTCCTTGCCCACAACCAGAGTTAACAATAGGTACCAATGACCACACTGACAATGATTTCATCACGATTCTTTTACAAGATCATGTTGGTGGGCTTAAGATCTTTTATCAAAATCAATGGACCGATGTTCGCCCTATACCCGGAGCTCTTGTATTGAATGCTGGAGATCTTTTACAGGTATGCATTTCTCTCTATCTTAAGCTTTAATATATTTTCAACCTATAGCATACTCAAAATCACAATCACATATAATTATATATACTCGTCTTATCTAATACTTACATATCCTAGTTTTTTTTTTTTGTTTCTAAATTGATTTGCCACTTATCATAATCGTTGGAATATTTTAGTTAGTTACAAATGACAAGTTTGTGAGTTCACGACATAAAGTGATGGCAAACAAGGTTGGTCCAAGGGTATCGGTGGCATCTTTCTTTATGAATTACCCGAAAAATCCCACTAAGACCTTAAAGGTGCTTGAACCAATCAAGGAATTGCTTTCAGAAGATAATCCAGCCAAGTATCGAGGCACAACTTTGAAAGAATATGTAGATTACTACAGGGCAAAAGGACTTGATGGCACTTCTGCTCTTCTTCATTTCAAGATCTAGATAATTTAGACAATAGAGTTACATGATGAAGCGCTCATTTTCATGTTTGTCTCATGGTCCTGGTCATGTAATCTATCTTGAAGATATATATGTTCTTTCTCTTTGTGCGATATTTGGCAAAATTATCATGTTGTTATATTATTTGTACATAAGTGGAATATACAAATGTAAGGGTAAATACTGAACACTTTACCTGTGTAGCAAGTCCAAGCAGAGTAGACGATGATATTTTAGAACGAAAGCCACATATATTATAGAAATCGAACTAGGAACTAGTAAAAAAAAATACATAAATGAAGCTATTTAATAGCCATAGTGATATTTCGAAGGTGCTAACCAATCTAGGCTAGATTTATCAATCTAGTGAGATTGGATGCCTGTATAAGATCATTGGAATTTTTTTTTGTCAATCGTCTTTAGGTGCGATTGGTTCCCTCGTGATTGACGACTAGTTCGCTTTTATCAAATTATGCGGGTGTACCAGGGCGATCTAAGTATTTCAAAGGTAGGTCACTTGACCTACATTTTTTTATTTTTTATTTTTTATTTTTTTTAAGAGATTATATATGGTTATAAATTGAGACCTACTTTAAGAACTGAGTGAACTACCTTAATTTTTTTGGCAACAAAAATAAATATAAATCAATATTTAGGCATCCAATTTATTTAAGGTATAATCGAATGAAAATAGCCCAATACAAGTAAAATATAATTAAATAAATACAGGAAAAAAAATAAAAAACAATAAAAAAATCGTTCTCAAGATGTTGTTCTTCTCCCGTTTCATACCATCAATTGCACAACGTCATCCGTTGGGCACCAAACCTCCACCACCATTGATGTCAATATATAAGACCTTATCAGATACAATTATAATAATTTTTTTGCTAGTACAACCCGTCCTAAACCCGCAAATTTATTTATTTTTACGTTTCACTTAAATAGTGAACCACATGGTTTTATGTTATAGACTCGCCACTGTGGTACACTAAGCGTACTAGCTTGAATTCATGATCGCGGATCCCATCCACGTATGTTGGGCGTACGTGGAGTACGCATAGCGTACGTGAGATTTAATGAAACCCTAATTTTTAGTGTTTGCACCCTATTTAAACATTATGAAAGCCTCATTTGGTTATGTTTTGAAACATCCAAAAATATGGTCCCAAAAATTTCATTTTATAATAGGTAAAAATATTATTTCAAACATCATTCATACAACCCATCAAAACAACGTATCAAATGCATCTAAATCAGAATGAATGTAAAACGCAGAATCTTTGTGGTGTGTGCGATGCGGTCAGCCCGAGCTCTTCCCCTTGGAACTGGAAGTACTCGAAACACAAACTAAAAACCATAAGCACAAAGCTTAGTGAGTTCCTCAAGATACCA